TATACACACACATATATATGCACATGCACATATATATATATATGCTGTAACCATGTTCTTGTCACTGCTGAGCTGTCAGAGCATTCCCTGAATGAGCTGAGCTGTCAACCCCCCTTGTGCCGCTATACCGTCAATGGCTTTAATAAACTGAGAAATGAGACCAGTGGCGCTTGGGGCTTCTTTTCTTGTTTCTGGCTGAAGGAGAGCTGTTCTGTTTGTATTGCAGCTTTGGCATCAGTCTGACTTGCGGGGAGTCGGAAGATCCTCCTGCGGATGTAGCTATTGAACTGAAAGCTGTGTTTACAGACAGACAGTTTGTCAGAAACTCTTGTGTAGCTGGAGAATGGGGGGAAGAGCAATCGTCTATTCCTTACTTTCCATTTATACCGGACCAGCCTTTTAGGGTGAGTACCAGGATGGCAGCGGCACGCGCCGTACCTGATAAAGTGTGATATGATCAGAGCCGCAGCAGAACCCAGCTTGCCTCTCAGGAAATCACAGCGTAGCCCGCACTTCTCCGGTTGAGATAGCGGTTGTCGGATTGTTTGTATAGATCAGTTGTGTGGAGAACCCGCTGCTGCCTGTAACTGCAGGCAATTCAGATGGGGCTGTGAAAACCTCGTCAGGGCGCTATGACAAGTCAGAGGTTGTAACACCGTGTGATAAAGTGCACTTCCTGAGCTTAGTTTTATAGCTATAAATTAAAAAGTACCTCTATGTTATTAGTGTATTACAAGTTATTACTGGAGAATGTAAATACTCTGTGGGACTGCCGTATGTTTTGATGGGGTTTTTTTAATGGACATAGTGTTTTCGATTTAGTGCAGCTAATAAGGATCTTGTTCATCCTTTGTCTCCGGGCGTGTTATGCCAAGGTTGACCGTAGCCCTTCGTGTTAGCAGATTAAACAGCTAAGCAATAGTGGTATTGTTTTCTGAACCCTGGGATTAAATCTCCTGTCACATTTAAGTCTGTAGTCACTTGAGAATGGTGTACGTGGAAATGTTGTGGTGCAAGGGATGGACTGGATTGACCTAGAAGCAGATTCCCATCTGTAGTGTTTATGGTTACGTGAAGATGTCTTTGCAAATCAGGACTAACAAAGTATGCAGCTGCAGAGGGCTGCTTCTCTCTCAGCGGCTTCACAACGTTGAGGAAAAAAGCCTGCATGCCTTCTCCATGCGGCTGACCCAGAAAAACCCTCCTCCGCCTCCCCTCCCCTCTTACGAAACCTCGCTGGCCCCTCTGCTAAATGCCAATGCTCTGACCAGCTGCCAAACTCTCTTAATCCTTCTTGCCCCCAAGATAATCTCCCCCAACCCCAAAAGCTCACCGTCTCCCCAGATGCCTGGGCTTTGAGAGGGTGCTTATGACTGGGTTTGCTGCGAATTGGTTGCGCTCTATTTCTTCTACAAACTCTCCCATCAGAACTGGCAACACCCTTTGGTACATGTGGGAAATGCACTTGAAAGGGCTTGGAGGCTTGGTCCTGCTCTGGCTGAGAGGGTTATGCTACCTGCTGCAGTGGGTGGTGGCTGGGCCCTCAGACAAGCCAAATTACCCAGAGCATGTTTTGTGGGTGTCTCACTAATGACAGTTGACATTAGAGGACAGCAATATTGCACATTTGGCATGAGATACTGTAGAAAGGGAGTTGTTCTTTTTTGTTTGTTTGTTTCCCCCTCCTTTATTCCCAAATGCACAAATAGAATTTAGGCTCCCAATTGACTTTGTACCTTTGATGGTCTCCCTCTCAGTGACTAAATTAGACTATTGAGTGTTCTTGCCAATTACTTGTGATCCAGTCCAGTTATCGTTCTGGCGTGGCCCAGGGTGATCTGAAAAACTGGGTTGTAAGCAGTGTTGAGGCTTACCATATCTTTTACATAATGAGGCCTAAGGCTGGATGCACCTGCCACAGTGGCACAGGAGCTACGTGGCAGCACGGGCGCTTCCCTGTTACGTGGTGCACTACCAGGTCCCCAGGAGCTTAAGCTCTCCTGGAGTGTCTGCTACCACTTCTCCCAGTGCAGTGTGCCCTAAGTCAGGCGGGCCTTGGCTCAGGCGATTTGTCACTGGCCCCGTTCCTGTTTTTTATACGCTGTAATAGCAGCGGAGTCAAGTGCCTAGAAGCAGCACTTCACTACCAGCCTCTTGAAATGACCCAGGATTTGCATGTGGTTTTTCCTGCAGATTTTCTTCTTAGCCTGTCTGGACCTGGAGGTCTCCAAGGGCCTGTAGGAGAAGCGCGTTCTGTGCCCTCATATCCCCGCTTCCTGCCAGGGCAGCTCCAGCAAAGCTTAACTACAGGGCACCCTCTCAAGCCACCCCTAACATCTGGAATCTCCCAACTTGTCCAGGCCTGTTCAGCTCCAGGCTTGGTTGCTTTTCCAGAGCATTTCTGCAGGGCTGGAGGAGGAGGGATGAGCTGTGTCCCTCCCTGATCCTGTCTGTGCCTTGTGTGAACTCTTCTAGCTGAATTCAAGCCCTCCTGCACCTCATTTCCCTCACTGCAGCCCCAGCATGGAGTCCAGTCCAACAGGGAGTCCTGGGCTGTCTGCAGCCACAATAGCGAAGGCTTTTTAGTTTTGCAGCAGCTGTGTGGGAGGGGAGGGCAGACCGATCTCTCCTCTCATGTTCACTCCATTCCAGTAAATTAACGGAAGTGTGGAAAGCATTGCAGAGGGAACTGCCCCCTCATTCTGCAGCCCAAATAAAAATGCTGTAGCAAGGAATGCAAGATTTGGGTTGGAAATACAATTTCTTCCCCCTGTAATTAGCAGTTTGAGTCTGTTTCTGGCATTATCCCTCTGATGCCAGTGGGACTGGGTTCCACAGTCCTTCCCACCACTACGGTGTGAGATCAGATTAACGTCCCTGGGAAGTACAAGACCTGTCATAGTGTAACTGGTGTCATGGGAGCAAACTGGTCTCGGCCTTGGCTGTTATGTGGCACATACATAGCAAAATGTGTAGCTGCGCCAACGCTACTTAAAGGCTAATGGAGCACTCTTCGTATTCTGTGAAGAAACTTCCCGGTTACACTGTGAACAACTTGCTTCATTGTTTTATTTTTTACAGGTTGAGATACTTTGCGAGCATCCCCGTTTTAGAATATTTGTGGATGGGCATCAGCTCTTTGATTTTTACCACCGTATTGAAACACTGTCAGCAATTGACACGATAAAGATAAACGGAGATCTTCAGCTTACAAAACTTGGTTGAGCTTGTTAGGACTGCAGATTCCAAACCGGCTCAGGTGCCATCGTCCGTTTGGAGAAGTGACAGCCGGCTCTGGACACAGCTATGGTAGGGAGGCTGCCCCGTTCCTTTTCCGCATGCAGTTCTTCACTCCTGTGCCGATGAACCGGGCTGTTGTTTATACTAATGAAGAACATTGTTGGTTAATAGACATTGAACCGTTTTTCTTGGATCAAAATAGCCCACCTGTGTTGGATAATCAAATTGGAATGGATTCAGAAAGACTTGCAGTCTTGTTTCAAATCTCACAGAAAGGCAATTTCTGAAATGTAGCGCTAAAGCCGGTTCCTGAACAGCAGTGACAACAAAAATAAGGTTTTCTTTTGCAAATATTGTTTCTGCACTGAAGTGGAGTAGTGTAGCACGACATAGGGCCACGTGCTGACGTCCTTACCCAGGGCCTGAGCCTGGTTCCATGGAAATCGATGGCGAAACTCCCACTCACTTTAATGGGGTACAATCAAACTGTCTAGTCCTTAGTCAAGCACAATTCCCACTGATTTCTATGGGATTTTTGCACATTCCTGGGGGCCAGCTGTTGTGCTGGTGTAAATCAGCATCACCTCCACAGCTGGCAGTGGAATTTTGCTGATTGCTCCCAGCTGCTGATTTGGCCCAAGGACTGTGCAAAAACTGAATGAGGATGTGAGGACACAGTCTGTATATTTTAGTCAGGGTATTTGCATAGAATGTAGATCGTTATGAGTTTTTTGCACAATGTATTGTTAATACAATTTTTAAAGCTTATCTGTAGTTTATTTATTTATACTCATTGTATGTATTATTAGTAAAAATGGACAATCTTACTGATGGTTAAGAACAGCAAAGTGTCAACATTTTGAATGTACAAAATGTCTTAGGTTCTTTGGGTAAACTTTACATATCGTTCTTGAAAAATCATGTTTCCTATCAAAACATTTAGTTACATTTTAATGGAGCCCTCTAGGCCCTGGGAAAAGGTGGGCACGGTAGTTGGTGGGGGTAGGGGTACCAATTTGCATAGTCACGAGAAACTGTTTTTCAGGGCTTACTAACTTTGCTGCACAGGATAGGTTTGAGTTCAAGTCAATCCGTTTTAAAAACTTAGAACAGCAAATTCGTAGGTTTAACTGTGCTTTTATAACCTGAGAAAAAGTTAAATTTGGCAGTCTTTTAGTTCAGAAAGAGAACCAGCCTCTTTCCAGGAGAGATGGGAGATTTTTTTTCCACTCATTTGAGAACATACTCGGCCTTTGATATGACAATTAAAACTTGTCTAGACAGCCAAGTTATTAATGCTTGAAAATCAGCTACTGCACATGAATAATAACTTTTCAAGTAGCTTTTTAAATAGTAGGTATAGTTGTATAAACACAGTCAGTGCGCTACACTATAAATGAACACAGCCACTTTTCTTGACTTCTTTAGGACTAAATACACTTTTTTTCCTTGGCTGCTCACTATAGACTATAGCAGGTCTTTCTGAGTAGTTATAATCATGATATAAACATCTATTTAGGCAATTTTGAAAACATGTAATGTAGGGACTTTCTAAGACACAGAATGCAAAAACATCCTTTGTAGCACAGTATTTGGGAAAAAAAAAAAAAAAAGAGAGAGAAGAATCTCACACACAGAACTATGCTAAACCTGCAATAAAGCTGTGGTTTACAGCAACCAGAACTGGAATACCCAAAGTTAAGGGTAGAATGCCAGTTGCAAAGCCTCATTTGGCGCTAATTTGGCCTGCAGTTAAGAAGCCTTAGACTGCAAGCTGAAATTCCAACTGTGGCTCTAGTCCAAAGCCTGTTGAGGTCAATCAGAGTCCTCTGAGCATAGGAGCCTGATTCTTACTTCATGCAAGTGCAAATCTCTTTGCAAAGCTAGGGGAGCATTGCTGCTGCTGCAGACAAGTTAAGAATCAGGTTGCCACCTATAAAATACAAGTTAAAAATGGAATTTTTAGCCTTAACATTGACATTCCCTGACTTTTCCTCTTTTTTTTCAAATTAAGAGAGAACCTGTTAATTTTCCAGATGATCTTTTTATCTGGTGTGTGGCTTCTAAGTTGTACATCAGATTCTCTTTGTACTCCAAATCTTGATATGAAATGTTCCTGTCTTGCTCTGTTTTTACTCTTTTACATGATACATGATGACTATGTCATTTTCCATTGTATAAAGAATGCTGACAGTGTTTCGGTACAAAATATATTCTTAAAAATTATGATGATGATGATAATAAAAATCCAAGGGAAAGGTGCTTCTACATGAGGTGTTTGGATTTTTCTCCAGCTTGAAAATGCTCTATGGTTCCAAAGCAGATGCAGGCAGAAGATGGATTCTGTTTGGAGAGATACTTAGCACCCTCTCTGCCTAGTGCTTTCTCCAACTAGATGGGTAAAGTCAGGTTTGCTGATGCAGTGCCATTGCCTGAGGCTGTCCTCCTAGTCCAGTAGGCCAGAAGTAGGAGGCTAGAGAGAGTAAGCAGCACCATGAGCCTAGAGTAGCACAAAACCAAAAGGGATCTCCCTGACAGCACACCGGTAGAGATGTGCTCTCCATGCCTTTACTGTAGCCCAGAAAAAGCAATATGGCTGACTTGAATTTTCAGCTGCTTGGGATTCCTGGTAGGTTTGCACAGCCCTCGGACTTTTGCTACCCTGCCCAGGCCTGGCCCAGCACAGCACAGTGCCTACGCCAGGGATGCTGAGATGAACTTGATGCACCGCTGTGTCAGTGGTGTCTCTGCCAGGAGCAGGGGCCCAGTAATACTGCCTTGCCTCTGTTCCCACCTGCTGCGCTGGGCACTCCCGTTTGTTCCCACTTCAGTGGTTTTCTGTCTCGGGAAAATGCTTTTTTGAACCTGATTCTGGTTTTGCCTTTGCATAACTCCACCAACCGCAGCGCCCACCACCTGATTCTGCCCTGTTGTGGTTTCCGAGCCAGGCTTCGAGGCAAGAAGGGCTGTGAACCCACTTCTGATGGATTGTGGTTTGGCTGAGAGCTCAGGAAAGGGCAGGAAGTCATGGTTGAGGCTTCCACGTCTATTTGTCTGTCTAACATCAGTTTGGAAGCCTTTTTATTTTCCTTTTGCTCTTGGGCAGTACCAGGCTATGGCAGGCAAAAGAAGGATGATGTCTATGTAACCAAGGGCTTTTCCACACGTGCTTGGCTTATGTTGGCTGACTATGTTCAGAAGCCACTGCTGAACACTTCCCTGTGCAGTGTAAGCCAGAGAAAGGCCTTAAATGTTTCTGTTCAGTTGGACTTTAAGCCAACTCCAAATGTTTAAGATGGGAGACAGTGCTGCATGATTTGTATCTGAATTTTTTAGTCTCTGCAATTTAGGGATTATTCAGCTCTTCATTTTGGATATAAGCCCTATTAGACCTGAAATAAGACTGTTTCCCAATTGGGCCAGGCTTTCAAAATGTTTTTCAGCAGGGACAAGTAGTCTGTGAGCTTCTTGGAAGCTGCGGTTCTTCAGGACTAAGTGAGTGTGTGAACCAACTTTTGAAATCTTATGCTAGAATTTATTAGCTGGATATTTCCATAGTTTCCTTTGAATGAGGAAATTAATTTTGAAATGAAACAAGCCTTGAATGGCTAAAACTCATGTGGAGTGGAATCACTCATGTTAGCATAGCTTTATTTTTTCCAAAGAAAAACAACCAAAAAACCACGACCAAATTATTGAGTTATGTTTGGAATTGGCTGTGATAAAGCTGATTTACTTTTTTTTTTTTACAAAAAAAGAGGTTATTGCCTACTCAGAGAGACTTGAAATACTTCAGTATCATGTGAGGTAGTCTGTGTCTAAACACATTTCACATAAATGCTTTTTCACAGCCAAGTTGTTAAAAATGTTACCAAATACCTTCTTTTTGTGTCACAATTAGAAATGTTTGCCCCACCTTGAAAGAACATTTTGTACTAAATATTCATATGTTGTCTATGTGAACTTGCACTAACATAGATTATATTCTCCCTCCCCTCCTTGACTGGCTTGAGAAGAAATAGGCGTAATATTGCTAAACCGGTTGAATGTGACATCTGCTTGAGGCATAGCATCTTTCTCAAGGGCTGTTTTGAGTAAACAGCCTGAAAACCAAAGGGAGAGCCTGATTCACCGTTCTGCTGTGCCAGCTTCCCACCCCTGTCACTCTCCTGCTGTGAGGCTGAGACTGAAGCCCTGAGATTTTAATGTAAGGGAGCAGCACTGAGATTTTTATCTTCCAGGATTTAAAACTCTTCACTGTGGAGGAAGCAAGAACAGAGTGGCCACAGCACTCTCAAGCTTGGCAGCAGGGCTGGGGTAGCATGACGTGCTGCAGTCCTAACGGAGCATGAGTTCAGAGGGAGGTAGTGGGCATTTCAGAGCCAGCCAAGAGCGCAGGCCATGGAGCTGCACGAGTTTCCCAGGGATGGGCATTTGCCACATCATTAGCTGCCACCTTCTGCAACCCCATACCAGGACACCAGCAAAAATCCAGCATCGCTTACAAGTTTGGAAGGCATGAAGGGGTTTATGTTCCTACTCGCCTTCTTTAAAACAGGCTTCTGAATAAATAATAGGAAAATTTAGGAGCAGCCGTGCCACTAAGGTATTTTTTTCACCACAGACATTCAAGCAGCATAGCTGATGTGGGGTTCATCTTGCCTACCATCCCCGAGAAGTGCTCCCCACAGAAATCTACAGCACTGCTTTCTGCACCGAGGCTGGTCACAGTGACCTTTCCACACAGAAAACTGCAGAACCCCGCAATTCTGCAGGGCCAGTTAGTGACAGCTCTAAGCAACGTCCCAGCACACCTGGAATTCGTACTTCAGTATGAGGAACAAGTCAGGCTGAGGGCAGCCCTAAATGCTCACTGTGATAAGCACAGAAGTTAGAAAGAAAAACTACACAAGTCTAGGAACAGTTAAGTGACCTAGCGAGATTTTTGGTAATCGTGGATATTGCTCGGATTTTCTCACACGGACCAGAAAGCGTACAGGCAAAAGTCGCTTTGCAACAAATGGTGTGTGGGGTTAGGACCAAGGCCAACCCAAATGGGAAAAAAAAATGAGCTGCAGACTCTTTATCTGGCTTTGATACACCCTCCCAGCAATCACTGCTGTTATGAACATACACAATTACTACAACAAGGAGATTCAGCAGCATGTGCAAGATCAAAATAATAAACTCGTAGTTTGCCACAGGTCCTCCCTAGCTTCTGTTGCTAGACCTCTCCATCTGTCTGTCAACAAATAACTATACCCTGCTGCTTTTCAAAACCACGGCAAAAATCCATTTGACTTTCATGGAAAGTAGGTCCGTAAGAAAAGGGGTATTTCTAGCTCTCCCTCTCCAGTTATTTTCAGCTGGGGCATAGTCTAACACTGAGTTTATTTTTAAGTATGAATAGAGGACTATTTCTGTCTGCATTACCCGTTTGATAGAGTCAATAGAAAGCACAGCCTCTCTCCGCTGCAGTAGCACTGGTTTCGCAGTCAGCCAATGAAACGTCTTATATTCATTACCTTCTGATTTTAAAACGTGAGGGTGTGCACGAAACAACCGGGCAATAATAGTAATATGTATCATTCACCACAGATCTATTTTTATGTGTTGTGCCAATTTCATAATAAACTTTTAATAACAATAAAACATTAAATCTTCACTAGGTTGTTCTGTTTTTTCTCTGCATTATTAATGCTCATTACACAGCCTCTCGACTTCTTTAACTTCTGGCTTCC